TGTTGCATGACCCAGTCCAGTCCACTACGGTCAGGCAGATCATGTTTTATAGTAGGCGGCAACCTTGTCTCATTCCTATCTTCACTTCGAAGGCGTCACTGAGCTTTCCATTGTGAATCAGCTGGCATGGAGGAACGTGAAAAAACAAGTATCAAAAAGTAACATACTCGTTGTACAAGTGGTAGATCTCGTGCTCTAGTGGTCTAGTCAAAAACAATTCGGCGTTTGGAGCAATGGGTACTGAGTTCGAGTCCCCCAGGAGCATCATCAATCACTATGGTGCAGGTGCATCCACCTGAAAAGTCCGAAATAGGATGAAACGCACTGCTAGTCATCAAGATGAATAAAAAATCATGAAAATCCAGGAGTATCGAGGCATACTCATTAAAGTTCATATGGCAACAGAAGTCGAGTAATTCGATTCTGTTTAGCAGTGGAAGATTACAAGTTTCATGCATGTAAGATCTTGTTATATTAGTTCAGACAATCTTCAGTTTCCGAAGACTGTTTACCATTAGTCTGATTATCTTTCATCATGATTTTTCATTCCCTCAGTCGTTTGCTTATCTTATCTGCCATTTCCGTTCATACTTCTCTTTAAGCTTCTGTTGACTACTTCAAGATATCCATATCCTCTTCTCATAAATATGTCCTATTTGATTGAATTTGTGTGTAAGAGATTTTCAGTGCCTTGTCCCACATTTTGCCTCCCCAGTGTTTAAGCTAGTGTCATTATATGTTACACTGATCTTAGTGACTAGCAGAGGAATCCAAGATGCGCTTTCCATCCTATTAGGGCTAATCAGCACCCCAGTGACTGATGTTGTTCCCAAGGTAGCTCGAATCTAGCACCTTTCGCTTTAAACGCCAGAGCGTTACCTACTTAGTCACCAAGGTCAATATACCATCATGAATATCCGGCAGTATCAAGGCATCCGCATGGGAGCCCATCTGCCAACAGAGGTCTAGCAATTCTGCCGTATGTGGCAACGGGAAATTGCGATTATCCCAACAACGGACCTTGAATATGTTTACATTTGTATGTTAATTTTACAATTATTCGAGGTGTATGCAGCTGACAAAAATCCTGGGGAATAAAATGACATAATCTTACTCTGCAAATAATATCATTCTCGCAATATTCAATTTCCTGAAGTGGAACTATTCTCTAATCTTGACTTAAAGAGTTGTTTCTACTGCGCTAAACTAAACTACTACAAAGCTTTACACTTTCACCGTTTATGTATATCTGAAGCACAGGTTATATAATTATAAAAACTAGAACTGTATTATATCGATCCCTATAGTAGTCTTTCAAATTAATTCTATTCCACTTGACTTTGTAATTTTGTTAGTATTGGTAGTTTGATTGATGATTATAAAATAATCATCATTTTGTACTTTCTGATAACATATGACGCTTATTCTACCTCCAGACATCAATTTTTACTCTACCGACCTTTCAATAATAAACATCCGTCATCTAAATCACGAGGATATCAACTGAGTAATTTTCAGTATGACTCTTTTTTACTTTGTCTACTTGAATCTCTCTCTGATCTTCCCCATCTCCATTTCTTACGTGTATATGTTGATTTAGCAGTTTACTGCTGCAACTATCTGACTTTTAGCAATTATAAAAATGGGACTGTTACGCTTGATAATTAAATGGCTTAAACAGTGCATTTGTCTGATATAATTCAACAATTTGGACACTTTAATAGAGAGTTATTACATTCTAGCTTGGTTATTTTGTTACGGCATATATTGAAGTTCAGTTGTATTTAGTACATATCAGATTTCAACACAGACAAATAAACGAAGTCAACGTAGAACTTTGCACAGAGGCAATCGTTCCAAGTTGTACACTTTGTGGTATGTAAAGATTAAGTGAGAAGAAAAAGAGTGATATCAGAGTAGATAAAGATGTATGATAGGAGAAGCAATCTATAGATAAGTGTTCAGAGAAAATATTCAAGCTTTGTTACGCTGTGTTCGATTTTCGGCAGTGTAACCAAGAGTCTGTAATCACTGATTCTTAAAGTCTCAGTGATCCCATTCGGATAATCCATAACACCGCAGATGGCTCAGATCAATAGCCAGAGACTTCATCGATGGGTATCGGGTTTTGGTCCAGTCGCCTTAATCCTTCTCTTACGACCCGAATCGACTTACTTGGCTAGTGCCTCATGCCTAACCTCAACATCACTAACGTGGGGATTCCACCATATATGAGCAGTGCTATAAAAACACCTGTGGTCAAAAACCTCTTGCACAACAACCTCTTTTCACATGTTCAGTTTCCGACGGACGTATCTCAACCGTATAATAGGAAAGAATGAACTGATATGAGGTACACCGTTTCATTAACGGGTAGTCTACTATCTTGCTAGCATCATATATGATGCAAGCTGGCGAGTAGCAAATAGGAAGTGTGACATCCACATTCATATGCGTTTCCAACTATTTATAAAAATATTTGCTATAAGTGGGAATGCTGTTTATCCTTCTATTCTCTCCATTCATTTATACATTTTATCTTGAAATTTGAAAATTGCCGATAAGACATAAATGAACGATGAATATGATGTCTTCACTTTGTACTCAAGTTGTATGAATGAACTCTTAATCATTGTGAAGTTTATTCTTGACAGATACTGGAACCAAGCTAGTTGGTACGTTAGTGTGTGAGCATGTCACATAAAATTAAACACCACTTCAATCTCTTCTATCAGAATATTATCTAACCTTCGCTTGATTTCATATGAATTGGCCAATTTTGATTGAGTGGCTTTTAATAGGATAAAATTTCGACGCTAAGTATTTAGTCACTCCATAAGCTGAGGTGTTCCTACAGCTCTTACAGCCTAATAAGGTAGTCTGGTTTATGAACTTTAGTAGCACTTTAGATTCTTCTAGGAATATTTGTAAATCACTTTAAATTACCCAGAGGTAGCTTTATTTGGTGTAGTACATCAGCTGTATACGTTCTGATCTAATTCATATGGACCCATCAAGATGCCGTCACTGACTTTCGTGGGGTAATCTGACTGTTTCATGACTACCACTGAACGTTCCCCAATAGCTTTGGTGGTTACAATTCTGTTGTCACCTCCTAGATTCTTCATAGCTAGTATTTGTTTTTATTAAGTTTTGTCTAACCTTTTGTTGCTTACTGCTAGTGCAGGCTATGCTCAAACCTGCTCAACAGTTGTTCAGTCTACTGAGCTTGATGCTATTTTTATGCTAGGAGAGAAGTCTTCAAGTTCCTTCTGACTTACCACTTCGTTGAAGCGTAGCCCCGTCTCAAGTCCTTGCAGTTCGTTTAACTTGAATACTTGGGTTGAGAGATTGATAACCTTCTTAATTCTGTCGTCGACTGATGTTTCTCTTCCATGAGTTTATCAAAACTCTTGGTATGAGCATTTGTAGTTTAATTGAAAACAGTTAATCTCGCTTTGTCCAGTGTCTCAACTAGGATTTAGTATTCTTTGCTGTTTAGTGTCTTCGTCAGTCTGCATTTCAGTTGCTCATTTCGACTGAGGACTGTAGATAATTTTTTAATGATCTTTCGCAGTTTTTCTCTTAAACAGTTTGCTAACATGTTCTACTTATGATCTAACCTTGTTTGTTGAGATCAACGCATGCTGATGAACACAGAATGTTAAAGGTGTGATAACTGATCAGTTCAGACTGAATTTGCCAAAGCCATGTCTGTTGACTATCCTTTGAACAGAAAGACCATTTTTTTAATCTCGACAATATTTTATAATACTATTCCACATTAGATTAGCATGTTAGATATAGCACGCAGTGACTTAGTATTATTTACTATCTAATAAATTATACTGTATCGCTGTGTGCTGTTTCATGTAGACCAACCTACAAAAAAATATTTATTTACTGAAAAATCCTTAGTTAGTAACCAGCTAATAAAAAATCACATAGATAGACAGCAGGAACACACTATTAGAGCAGATCTACATTTTCAAAACAACCCTTCTACTAGTAGAACCCTGGAAATGCTATTCGAAAGTTGGGGAGAGTGTTACTATGCTGAAGCCGCCCTCTGTATAGTTAAATAACTAACCGTAGTTTAAACTAAAATATCAACGAATGCAGCATTTAGTGGTTGTACATAAGCCCTTTCTTGCACAATGTACATTTATAATGATTTCGATAATTTTTAATGCAACAGGTTTGATATGAAATTCTCATCTGAAACAAATTGCAAGTATGGTTTTTACATTGACTTAATGACACCTCTCTCGGACTGGTTATTTTATAACTACATAAAATTAATCCAGTATAGCAGTCCCCAGATGGGAGGAAATAAGGATCTTCTAAAAGGGCTTAGTTCAGAACTTGAGAGTGCTTAGCGTTCCATAGTAGTCAGGACTCATTTTCATCCAAATTCACTTCGACATGGAAACTACGGCTGGACTACATTAATTGATTTTAAGTATCCTAGTGTGTAGATGAGCAGATGATTGATTTTATTGATGAATAAAGGATTATTTAGATTAACCGGTAATGTTATGGACTGCTACCAAATGGGACGGTAACACAACGCACCTAGGATACGTATTAGCTGCCTATCCTGATGTAGACAACTGCCTAGGTCAGAACTTGAATAGATTTGCCAGCATATAAGACTGTAGAGTCTCTGAGTTTCAAGAAGATCTGAAAACCTTCTTACTGGACTGCAGTATGTGAGAAAAATGGATTTAACGAGAGTTTGTGTGACATTATTCGTAACCGATGTCACCAGAAGTAACACTGATTTTTGATACCTCGACTTCCATCCGGTTGAATGTTTAACTTCTGTATGAATGTACCGTTATTTTAAGCTTCGATTATTGGCTCCTTACTCTTTTTTAGAATGATTGACCAAGTGTAAATAACTCATATTGACTTCATTTATTGTTTCACCAATCAACTTATCCAGTACTGCATATTCTAACCTCATTTTTTTATTTACTTTACTGTGATAAAATTAGGTCAAAAGTTGACTGTTAATCGTTCCGTAGACCAACAGAGTATTTCACCAATACAACCAAGAAAATATCACGGTAATAAAAGTCAAATTTCATCGGATAACCAAAATGAAAGATGTCAAAATATTGGGCTAGGAATAACTTCTCGAAACAATGCTCTTAGTTCAGACTATGCATCACAGCAAAGTAGCCTAAGTAAGTTAATTTAATTTTATTCTATATTTTTAATATACCATTCGGCCTTATCATTAAATATGGTGATTTTTTATTTACTTAGAAAGGTTATCTTCTAGTTTACTTGTTATTTGAGAGTTTTAAGTTTCCATCACGTAAATTAGAACAAGACATATAAGCGAACAATTCTGCTTTCACTCTGATTCTCTTCAGGCTTTAATAATAATGGCTAAATAAATATGAAAATTAAACTAACCATGTAGATTTACCGGTCAGTGGTATGTGTAGTAATAATGTTAATATGACAATAATAGCAACAATAACACTGATAGTCATAGTGACACTGTAGACTAAAGCAGTTGTAATACAGATGATAGTAACGACAAGAACCAAGATAATAGCATGATAGAGGAGGAACTCGGATAACCAAAGAGGATCAAGCATTTGGAAAAACGAAAGTTGAGTAATTCTGAAGGACGACGTGGTAAGTAGATCAACAAAGTCTCAGTAGCTTGGTGGGTAACACTTCAGCGTTTGAAGTACTGGCTACTCTATTCGAGTCTTAGTGGGAACAGCATCAATCACCGGGATGAAGTTGCATCCACTGACGAGTCCTGAATAGGACGAATGCACGTCCTTGATTCCACTGCTAGTTATCAAGATGAATATAAAGTTTAAACGCATATGGTAAGTATATAGAAGGGATGAAGCATAAGAAAGAGGTGGAAAAATTTCAGTGATAAAGCTGTGTATTACGTATTTTCTGGCCAAGGAAGGGATAAATGATATGCGAACTTCTGGATACAAAGATTAGGATTACTAGCTCGAATTCCTACAGGTTCTGCTATATGCAAAAGACGAGTTCAAACACCTTTTGGAAGAATAGGTGGTATGCAGTAGATAATCCTGAAAGCACTGCTCTTATCTACTTAGTGACCACTATCTACCACATGAGATAAAACTGAACTTATGATGGATTTACTTGTTTTTCTTCCAACCATGAAAGTAGATGTCCAGGGAACGTCTGGTAAGTTGCCTAGTAGTGAGCCCAATGTGACTTTCTCCATAGGAGCAGTTAAACTTGTAAATACACAGGAACGGTATAGCTAGATAAATTGTCCGTCGCTTGAGTAACGACACCTGATCGAGCGACAAGGGAAAAACAGAGTTCCATGGCGGAAAATGTTTTCTTAATCTCTATAAAGGGCTTTTGATATATAGAACTGCACCTGTTCCCACTTCCGACTTGGTTTGCCCCCCTTTCCGTGGTCATGACTCTTCATTAGAACTCCAGAGTCTCATGAATACGCACTGGTCAGAAGTCCCATATGGAGATGAAATAGCAACCCAGTGCTCCCAGAATTCCAATATTTCTTCAACTCATGTCAGTCCATGATAAATACCGACGTAAAATCAATAAAGCAGTCCTTATAAGACCTTCAAGCTGAATGGATACGTATTCGTCTACCACCTATTTGAAGCTTAAGTAATAAGTGAAGTTGATAAAGACATGTATAAAAATCAAACCAATTTTTATATATCAATTTAAATAATTTCAACTGAAATGCTTGACAACAACGTGGTTAGTGGAGCTACTTTCTAAACACTTAAAATAAATTTTCCTAAAATTTCTAACGAACGGTGTTTGATCATCAAAACATTTTACTACTCTGTAAATTATTAACTTAAGGAAGTTAAACTGTATTGTACTTCAGTAAGTACTATTTACTATAAATTTTCTGTGATCGATAATGCTGACTAACACAAATTGTTGTAGGCTACTGAAATCAGTGATCTTTTACTTTCTTAAAGAACTGAGTACTAATGAATGACTTGAACTGTCTAGTTTTGGTTCGATTTCATTTTTTATGAAGCTTAACGAATGCAATACAATCTAGAATGTTTTGGATAGTGGAATTATAACCATTCCTTGGTATTAGGAATGTATTTTCCAAGAATTAAATACATATAGACTAGATAATTATTGAGATATGGTTATGAGTTCAGTTGTGTTCATTTATCATCATGAGGAAATACACTTTTTTCAGCCAGCATATATACATGAGATATAATGGGCAATGACCTGGTAGATTTAAAAGTATACTTTGGTAGATTTTAGAGAATCATTTAACTATAAAACAGTTTCCGTAATGAATTGACTCCATCTATGCAGTCATTCAGAGCAGGAAACAGTGAATTTCTGATCCATCTTATTTTCTCATCCTTAATTAGATAGGATCTAAAGCCATATATAGGATAGGACTTAGAGTAGTGAAGTCTTGTGGTCATTATTCGATTAGTCAGCAGCTAAACTGAACTCTGGTGATCTAAATCTTTCATCCTCAGTCAACTTGCTTAGTAGTATAACCATTATTTAGTAAATCTATCGGATGATTTGATTTTATCCACTCTAAATATCACAAATTCTTATCATAACATACGAAAATTAGTCCAGTCTTTGTTAAGCACTCACTTTTTATCCAGTTAATTGTTTGTGGATGAACTAAGACAATTTAAGGCAAGTTTTATCGCAAATGAACCTAGGATACGTTTAGAAAGAAGCCCTTGCTCCAATCAAATGGTCTGAATGCAGCAAAAAAAATATGTTCACATCCATGGAGAGCGGGTTAAAATCCAGCAGTTGACACTCAAAAGTCGAGTGCTTGGCTCAACGAGCCTAATGTTTGATCTACTTTGTTACAGTCTAGAACAGTCAATTTTTACAATTTAGAAAACACTTTTACGAAACGTTTACGCTATTTTTTATGAACAGGCAACAAATCCAGTGGATCAAGTGTAAATCATGGTTTTTCACCTGAGAAACATGTTAACTACTCGGCTAAAGTTCCAGTCATAGATATAAATACAAATAATCATAATGTTGGTGCATCATTTGTACTAGATCGTGTGCCTACACCAGAGCCACAACACAGAACAGGACCATTTGCCAGATTAATGCAATATAATTTACCAGACCAAGCTGTTAACAGACTACAGATACAGGATTTAGATGGTTATCTATCGGGCAAAGTGGAAATCAAAAGCAAAGTAATTCATTCACCTTCACTAACGAAAAGAACAACACTAACGTCCACTGCTACTACTGATGTTACTGCTCCTGAGACTATAGACCAAAATGTATTTTCCCCTGAATCAGATGATAATTCAGAGTTTACTAAACGTGATAGAACTCCTGAAACACCAGATAGTATTTCTGAACAAGAAATGATGGTAAGCAATTTGATTTTGAGCGATGATTTAATTTACAATTCTTCAAACATATTTTGTTATCTTACTGATAAACGAATTCCTTCCAGTAAATTGTACGTGGTGATTTAAGTCTGTGGAAAAAATGGATGGCTACGGTTTTTAGAAGTAACTGTAACAAAGGTCAGTAAAGACAACTATCCTTATGCAACTGAAGAATACTTACTTGCAATAAAATTATTTGTTAGACAGAAACAAGAGCGGACATGCTCACATCACTACTGCATAAGGTTTAAAAGAAAAGGAAGGAAAGGTACCTGCCGACTGATTGAAAGAAGGGCTATCTCCTCTAACTACATAGAAGGGAGACCAAAGTGTTTGCAAGAACTGGTGAGAAATCATGCTCCTATCCCTCTCCACACGAAGCAAGCAAAATAATAAACCACATCAACCTGGAGAGACTGAAAAATGCTCTGCATTCAAAATTACAACCTGAACAGGCTACCTGGCTGGCTGACTGGCTTCAGGAAGAACAAATCATGTGCGGATCAAATTGCAATGATTTGAATTTCCGATGGTGATTTATGTCTAATGTATTGCCACACAAACTCGAGATCTACAGGCAAAAACTAACAAGTTGAATGAACAGGCAGTGGAGGAGGACTTCCATTAGGTAACCACAGACAAGACAGAGGTGATGAAGATACCCAACCACTACCACCACCATCAACAACAACAACAAACACAATCACCATCAATGGTAGATATCTAAAATAAGTTGTTTCTTTCACCAACCTAGATAGGGCAGCATCGTTTCAACTACAGGCGGTGGCACAGATGACGACGCCAAAGCAGCCGAGATCGGAAGGACAGCAAGACAAGCCTGTTTTCATTAATCTGGAGTAGTCAGTGTGGAGATCTACTGCACTGCACCCACTCCACTCCACTCAGCATAAAGCGTGAACACCATCCGCATTTTCAACACTGATGTCATTGAGTCAGTGCTTCTATGTGACGATTCAGAGACTTGATGGTGTGTTGCGAAAAGCATTTCCAACAATCTACAAACATTCATCAACGGCTGCCACCTACGCTCACTCGATACTGAAGATTGGATGGCCAGAAAGAATAAGCGACAAGAAACTCACTCTGGCTAGCAACGAACCAAGCAAAAGTTATTGCCCAACAAATATGCAGAAGAAAGTGGAGATGGATTGGATTGAACTGAACAGACACTGAGAAGACCGATTGAGGACATCACATGAGAGTCCAGGCCGTCGAGTGGAAGCCGAAGTGGAAACGATGAGTTGGGTTTCCGAGGAGATGGCGACGTGGAGATCGTTTGAGGAAGAAATGAGAGCTTCTGTGCAGTCGTGGTGCAAGCTTTTGAACATTGTAGAGAACAGAGTGAAATGGCGAGATGTTACTGAATCCCTGTATTCCACTGAGAACCGAAACAATAACAATACTATGGTATTTAACTGCTTGAAATTAGATTATGTGTTTATGGATTATAGATTGCGTACCTAAGTTGTATACAGTTCATAAAAATCCTGTGACTTAAAACGATTCCCTCTAATTCTGCAAATAGTATCGTCAGTGAATTAATCAACTGTATGAAATGTTACCGTCATCTTTCAATTCATCAAGTTGTGGAGGTACAATTTATATGCATATATGAGTGAATATGAGTTTGGGAAAAGCTAAATTAGTGAGATATTTAGTTAAGATGTATACCTATAGCCTTTTGTTTTATCAAAGATTCAAATGAATAGTTTCGAACATTATATCTCGGACATTTCATACTTTAGAAAATGTTTGATCGAAGATATATTTCCTTTTAAGTAGGTCATTGTCATAACCTGTTGTACTAATAAATAAATTTGAAAATTGCTAGCAACGTACTATTTAATGGTGTTGGGTTAATCCATAAAAATAGTTAACATGGAGAACGTTTGAGGAAGAAATTGGAGCTTCTGTTTAGTCGTGGTGCTAGCTTTTGAACATTGTAGAGAACAGAGTGAAATGGCAAGATGGTACTGATGCCATATATTTTACTAAGAACCCAAGGGACAAATAATAATAATTAACGATTATCCCTGGTTGTTAATTACACTTTCAGACTAGGTGAAACTTCGTGTGTTAAATTATGTCTCTGCCATCTACGAAGTAAATATATTTCTGGTGGGCTTTTGTGCGCGTTAACTCCCTTTCAGTGTTAGCCTCTATAACTCTATAGTCGTTAGCCTTTAGGACCGATTGTAGTCCATCGTTTTAGAATTGCAGTGGGACCACTAAGAGAGGTGATGTAATGTTGTGGTACACTATATTTTGGTGTTAGTTGGTGGAATCCAGTAGGCAGGAAGCTCTAGATTGTATCTCTAAATATTTGCATTAGCAATGAAGCCACTGGTAAACTATTAAAATCGAACTGTTTTAACAGCTGGTGGTTTTTGTGAACAGACTAACCTCAGAGCAGTTTTTGATCGTAGATAGAAATCAGTTGGAGACTGAATGATCAGTCTGCAGTACTAGACAGCTGTTACGTTCTTTACTAGATCGCCACAGTAGTTGCTATCAAAATAACAGGATGAGAAGTTAATTTGTCAACTTTATCGAGTAGTGAGAAAAGCATATCTATTTCAGTTTGGGTGGAATATTGTAGACTACAGAGCTAAACCAGGTAGGACTATGAGGTCAAGATATTTTTGGCATAGTTATGACTATTTACTATTGAAAATTATCTTATTGAACGAGATGAGCAAAGCACATGTAAAGACAAATTTAAAAATCTCATCAAATTGATGCATCGTATTTATCGATAAAATATGATAAAAATGAAATGATTGTTGATGAAAATAGAAGTTATTAGTCAGGTTATCATTGTTGTACATTCCACAACTTAACAAAATAGAATAGGTAAGATCACATTATCATCAGTCACCGAGGAGTGTTTTGTTGCCTGTAGTCTAGTGCTAAGTGCTGACAGGATTCTGTTCACTTTGATGTTTCATCAATGGTCCGAAAGACTTAACGTTGAAATTCACTTTAGTTGTTGTTGAGTTCTTTTGGGAAGTTGGTAAAAACCCTTGGACAATAGTTTCTTTATTGTAAGCGCTCATCAGTAACCTCAAAACAGCTGGTGTTTCTTCAAAAATGTGAACCCATGTTAACCAGTATTTATTCACACATGTTACCATATAGATATTAGGACTCCGTATTCATCTTCCTTTCAGGATTGAATGATGTACATTGTTCAGTAACTGAAGAGCAACCTATTTCATGTCATCGAGTACTAAAAATCAATAAAAGTTAACTAATTCCACTATAGTTACCAGTGTAAATGAACTAATGAAATACTTAGAATTAAAATTCTGAAGTTTCGAGCATGGTATTGTATCAACGATTTAGGACACGTTGTACGGAACTTTGAAATAAATCTGCAGTTTTCAAAGAGAAAATACTCGAGAAAGTGAGAATAAGCAACTCTATGCATTCTCTACGAATATTCACATATTACCAGTCTCACTGTTTTGACTCATAAGAACATGTTGTCACTGTGCATAAGCTGGTTTTTCGAAGTGATTATGAGTCTACAAAGACAATAATCTGCAGGAGTTAACTACATGAATGTCAAGCATATTACAATGCGTGAATAACCCGAGAAACCAAACAATTTCACTGCAATAATTTGTAGGTAATTTAAGTATCTAAAAATATTACAATGAGAGTAGCTTCATAAAGTTGTCAGATATATGACTAGAAACAGATGTAAGCAGTCAACGTGTCACGAGTGACCGAATGCCACTGACATACGTACCTGGTGGATACTTTCATTTCTGGTTGAAAATGGAATACTGCACTGAAATAGTAGTCATATGTTAGATTATTGCATAAATAAGAATTTCCTAACTTATTTACTTTTCTAACTCTTAACTTTTCAGAGAGGTTTCAGCACTGAAGAACTTAACCAAGAAATGGCAAATTTAGAAGGTTTGATGAAGAATTTATCAGAAATTACACAAAATGAATTTACCTGCTAAGAACTGTGCATTTATCTCCTATTATTCTCCCCTTTTTTGGACCAGTTGTCTTTGAATTATGATTGCAAAGAGTTGTAATAGGTTTATTTTCATTGCTATATTCAGGTTAAATTGTTTTGTAAACATGAAATTATTTGCATAAAAACATTTAGTCTACTAACGAGTAGTGTACAATCTTAGCTCGAAATAGTTGCCGTCGAGGACATCAATGACTGACGAACTAAAACCCTTAATACATTATGAATCAGCAAACATTTTCACTCTATTCTTCATTTTTTGTTCTCAGTACATTTCAAATCACAAAGAGTGTATTTGTTTATGTAATATACTATTTAAAAAGTGTACGTTGATTAAAAGCCTGAAACTGAACAAATATCTATAGTCAAGTTGCATTCTTCCCCGTGAATTCGTTAAAATAGCTTAGGTACTCAATTAAAAAATAAATAATACTTATAACTTTGTCTACTGTTTTTATGTACTTCTAAAGACTGGTTTTCTTTCAATAAATAAATCTTTTCTCTAATGAAAAGCTGAAGATTGATTTCAGTATGACAAATCAAGTTATATATATGTCCCAAAAATCTTCCATTTCCTTCAAGTTAAGCCAGCTTTTTTTATTATTCTAGAAATGAATTGTCAAATATGAATTGAAATCACTTAACATTCAAATAAAACTATGTAATTTGTAAAGTTATATTTACTTCCTGTTTTTATTGTTACTGACTTTGACCAAAGGGGTTCAATAAACTATGAAGGAATTAATTGAAACTAGGCTTTGGAGCTGGAAGGTAATTGTGTAGTTAAATAGTAGAATTGTAAAGCTAATTTAAAAGTCCAGATGGTTAATAGACAGTTTACTATTTAAACAGGTATAACTAAAATGTTAAAATACACCGTCCAATCTTAGTATTAACTTATCCTATCATACAGAATTCAAAGTAGTCTAAAAGAATTCAATGAAGGAATGCATGAGTAGTGTAAAGCAAAGGTACAAATGCACTTACCGTTATCTGTATCTGTGCGTTGGTAATGCAGACAAGCATAGTAACTCTGATCGATTTTCAAACAGTAATGATGAAAAGCAGTTTCTCAGAAGTTAACCAGGTAGTTTTCCGTCCTGTCTATATAAAATGTTCCGCGGTGGCAATAGTTAATTTATTCCCACATCACACAATTCAGGAAGTACGCTTTGTCCTATCTGGAACTCGTAAACTGGATGTACTGGCACCCCAGTGCAAAGTGATGTTCTACCCACCGAGACTCGATCATCGTACACACCACTTCAAACGCCAAGGCGTTAGCCACTAGGCCTTGGAGGTACATTAGGCACCTCTTGTTCAATGGATATTAGTTATTACTGTTCGTTAGGTATTTGTAATTCTCCATTGTTTTGCTAAACTGATCTTTATCGTGCCAGTATGGTACAGTGGATAACGCCTTGGCGTTTGAAGAGATGTATACTAGGTTCGAGTTTCAGTGGAAACAACAGCACTCAACAGAAGCAGTTTCATCCAGCTAACAAGTCCCAAATAGGACGAAACGCGCATTCTGAATTTCTCTGCAAGCCACAACTAAGTAAATTGCTGTAATTAACATTTAGGCGGTATCGAGGCATCCGCATAGGAGCCTGTATGCAAATAGGGGTCAAACCATTTGATGCAGTAAAACAACGAAGCGTTACAAGCATATTCATAAATAGTTTGCTGAATGTTTTATTTTGGTTGGCATTTGGTTCGGTAATTTCCAGTTGAGAACAGTCATTAAATGGTTGTGGCTACACTATTTACTATAAAAGTCGCTGTGTTATTGGTTAGTGTTCTCCTAACTTTCAGGCTTCTAGAATGTTTCATCACCATCCTAGGAGCCTTATCAGCATTTACTTCATATAGAAGTGAATCATTTTTGATTTGTACGAATGCTCATGAAGGATATTTGCTGGTCGCCAGGGTCACTGGTTTGTGAGTGGGTGGTAACATTTCCCTTTTTGTTATCAGAGGTTGATTTAATATTATTCTTATCATTGTCTGACTTGTGCTGTTGACCTGATTATTGATCAACTTGACCAATTTCCAGTCGGCTGATCCTTTCTTAATAATCCCTATACTGAGTCTACGTTCACACATCTGTTGAGTCAGTCGATTAGAATAACGTATTTCCAGAAACTATCTTATGGTATTTTAAGTGGTTTGTTATGGTGTTTCCGCATTGCCCCAGTCAAAGTTGTGGCTGTTGCCATCTACATGGATGAATATCAATGATAATACATTGTGTCCTTTGACAGCAAGCTAATAAATTCTCCGACCTGTTCGATAAGTGTATTGGCCAGCATAATGCTTTTGAAGTCTTTAAAACTTGTTTTGAAGATTATATTCGTCTTATCTTCTTTAAGTATTGGATCGTTTAGCTTGCACAATGGGTTCTGCAAGGTTTCCGTTGGTGTTTATTCCCTACTTATATCTAGTGGATGAAGCAAATAGTTAACAGTTTATGAGGCATCTTTGATTTTTGGTAGAGTTTCATTATGTGTGTTGGGGTAATTTTCGCGATGCGTGTTCTGTTAAAAGACATTTCCTGATGAAAGTGACTGGATAATCCTTGTCCCTGAACAGTTATGAAGGTGGTTTTTTCTGACCTCCTGAGTTGTTGAATACCTCAGTGATCCATGGCGTATGATTACGCAAAACTATTCCTGTGATACTTTGCTATGCTACCGTTGCAGTTCAGAAACTGAAATGTGTAAGCAACTTCATTTTGCACTTCACTCTGTAAGGATCCTTCATTTGTTCTTCTAATGAGGTTGAACTTAGTTTCTGAATCACCTGTTTTGTATGATTACAAAGGTGTCGTCGACTTAAAGAATTCAAAATTTTGGTCTGATTGTTGGGATGACTATTGATTCTAATGTCTGCATCACTGGTTCAGTAGGTAGCCTGGTTATTGGTGAGCCCATGACAGTTCCTTTGATTTATTTGTAGATTTTCCCGCTTAACTGAAAAGGTTTCGTGAGAAATGGGTCTGCTGCTTCTACCAAGCCTATAGAGGAAATGTTCGTATATTTCTGAAGATTCTAGTCATTACTGAGAAGGATATTCCTTGACATTTTGACGAGATCCGAGTTGACTAAAGCGAAATGTGCAGTTACGACAAGGGACACCATCTTTTATCTATCTTGAGATATCTTATTCTTTCTAGGAACTAAGCTACGGAATCCACTCAGTACTACAGTTTATTGCATAAGTTTTTGGATAAACTTGTTGGTGGCTTTCGCGGTATTGACACTATTGACCAGAATATATCTGCCTTGTTTACTTTTGGTTAACCGTAGGTTCCATTAACCACTGTTCTTTTTTCGTGATTGAACTAGATTGTCTATTTTTTTGCGAGCTTTTTGTCAAGCTGTATGATAGGGTTTATGTCTACCTTTCGGTTACTGCTCTTATCATCGAGTACTTCGAATGCTTTTCCACGCGATCCAGTGTGTCTATTACAACGGTGGTGCTTCCTTCCTTTGCGTGTATTATCACAATTTTCTTGTCTAACTTCACTTAGTCCACAGGTTTCTTTTCATTCATGTTGAATTAGTGCTTCGTATCCTCGATTTTTACTGATGTAATGACTAGCTGACGTAATTTTTGTGGTTTTTTCTGTCATTATTTCTAAAGTTTTGAGTGAAGATTCAAAGGTCACACAGAAATCCAACATATTCGTATTCTTCGTGCTGCAGTTTAATCCATTTCGAATTGGAGTGCATTGTGTGGATGATAAGGTTTTACTGATGAGTTTCTTTCTTCTTTGATTTGGAAAGCTTCAGAAGCTTTTATTCCCTTTTTCTGACTTTCTTCTGTCTTCGTTTTTATTAGAACTATTGTAGTCTTCAGTTGCTTCATCATCTTTGTTCTCGGGATTGATTCCAATACTCACTGCTAAGTAGTCACTATCCTATTATACTTCATGAATAGGTTTTGTGCATTCGATATTATGAATCGCGCTACTTTCCTTCAGTTTTGTTCAGTGATATTTTATCCAGTGGAATAATTGATAGGTTGTTTGCATTTAATATTATGTCTCAAAATGTGGTTTTGTAAACCTCGACGGTCTCGCATTAGAAATTTCGGCAAGTCTGTCTCAAAGCGTGCTAATTATACGCACTAGACAGTTCTTCCGTTTGAAGATTTATAGGGATTGACTGGTATACATACTAGGACAAAATAGCCATTCATTTCTCGCAGGTTTTACAATGCCTTTTCAAGTGGTGTCATTACAAGATGAATACTATCTTGGAATCAAATAATCTCCATGAACTATCAAACTGGAGTACATTTTACTTGATTGCAAAATGACTTGGGTAAGTTTCTGCCACAGTGGTGTAACAGTTTACTGACTAGGAAATATAACCTGCTGCTTAGTAGATCACATTTTATTTTACGATGTCATCAAAACTGCAGCAGTTGTAGCATTTCATAGGACAACAAATTAGGAACGTTTTAATTTCTTATCTGTGAACATAAGGTTACAATGCGAGAAAACCGAGGACTGTTTCTAGAGTCATTCATTGGGGGGGGGGGAAATCACAATATAAGAAATCATGGTTCAAGGGAATGACATGGGGATGCTAGAAGATTTACAGTTGCAGAGGAACAATATGAATCCAATTATTCCTGTGGTTTTCATCATCTGTTAAGGGATGGCTTCACCATTAGTAGCCATCGTACTAAAAAAAGGAGAACACTTTATTAATGCGTAAAGAAATTAGGATTTTCCGAATGGAAGCAAAAGATAAGTAATTATGGAGCTGAATATGTACATTTAACTGCAAAAGAAATTTATTTAATAAATTTATGATTACGATATAGCAAAAACAATATTGTACAAATGATTGCACATCTCATTATGGGCGCAAGTTCCATAGAAAACTTTTCTTGGTGGCAAAATAGTCACATCAGTATTTTTCAATTTTTTTATAGTTTAACTTTGCAGGGGAAGAGGTTGAATATTAATGATCCCAAACTACTGGTAACTAATCTTAACGCAAATAACTGAATTTCATACAGAAGGTTACAAATCAATCCGTTGAAATAACTCTGAGAAATTATAACTATACATTTGAAAATTATAAAATTTCCAAATGCAGCTAGTTAGTAAATGAAACAGATAGGATGTAGGCGAACCAGTATAGATTGGTAAGAAAACGGAAGTATAGGTGAAGTTTTTCAGCAAACAGGAATTCGGTTTTTCCGTTCATAATAAACTGACTAATACACATAAACAAACATTTTTTGAAAATTTTACAAAGTTTGAATAAAATGAAGAGATTTCAGAGGTGAAAAAAAATTATGAAACCGATTTTGTTCAGTCTCTACATTAATATTTCATTTTAGCATTACATCTCAATAAAATTTTCAGTGATACAAAAATTTTAAAAGTTATTATATCGTTCAATAAATACATAGAAATTTATTAACAATAGTGAACATTGAATAAGTCTAACTTTAAAATAAAAGAGTAATACAACTAGTCAGATAAAACTATATCAAAGGGAAAACGTGAATGAATGAAAAAATCATTATACCTACAGTAGTAACTGAGGTGATGAGTCAAAATAAGAATTATTAAATGTTCGATCATTTAAAAATTCTCATTGAAACATGAAGAACAAGATATTCAGTGGAAAGACTCTTTTCAACCAATTGATTTTCAAA